AGTGCCAAATTCTCGCTTTTGATGCTGTTCAACTTGAAACTGATCTCATCGATCTCAATCAATCAATCTCATAGATCTCAATTCTTAAAAAAACAGCAATCGAATCAATTTTTTGTGACTAATCTTTCACTTTCAATCACCTTACTTGCAAAGTTTTCAACTTTTCTTATAAAACTAGCCTATAAAAGTCCAAGCAATCTTACTCCGTTCAAAATGTTTCAAATTTGTGTTCAAATTCGAATTCAAATCAAAACAAACTTTCTTTTTCAAGCCTATCACAATTTCCCTACGTTTCCCAGTCCACTTTTAATAGAATTCAAGTTGAAATCTGGCCATAAATTTGTAGATTTCATTTCCAGTAGCCTGGTACTATGCACAGATTTGTGTACTTCCTTTTTTAGATCATTTAGAACATTTAGAATATTTGGATCATTTGGATCATTTAGATTATTTGGATCATTTAGATCATTTAGATCATTCAGATCATTCAGATCATTTAGATCATTTAGTTCTTTTGAGATCATTCTTCAGATCATTCTTTAGATCATTCTTCAGATCATTTTTAGTGTTTAAGCATTCAAAACTGACTGGGAATAAGCCTTGCATAAAATAAAATACCTTCGATAAATCTTTGGCTGATTAAGTTTTACGCATCACTTTCAATATTTTGAAACTTGAAACTTTTAAAGTCAAACAATCATTTCCGTTCTCTTTTCCAGCATTTGTTTTCTTTTCTCATTTTCCCGGCCCTTCTAATGGAAACTCAATAATTTTCATTTCATTTCATTTCAGATTTCTACATTTTCAGTTATCCCAGCTATTCTGTATTGTTTAATTCTCCCTTTTTCTTCATTTTCTTCATTCTCATCATTCTCATCGCCCGAGCATCGGCCGATGCATCTTTTCCCGTTTATGGTGAGTCATTTAGCCGCCTTTTTTCTCTTATTTTTCGCTCAACAAATCTTTTTCTAGAATTATTTTCTTAAAAAAGTGACATCATTTCATTTCTTGAATGAGAAAAATCGATAGATTATAAAAATAGAATTTAAGGAAACCTGGAGAGAGGATACAGATTAAATTTCGAAAATTCGTTGGAATTTGAAAGAATTTGAAACATTGACTTTTTAATCTCTTAAAAATCCTTTTAATTAGCTGTTTATTTAAATCTTTTTGTTTTTATTTAAGAAATTACATTTGTAGCTGGTAAATCTACATTTGTAGCTGACAAATCTACATTTGTAGCTGCAAATCTACATTTGTAACTGACAAATCTGCAAATCTACATTTGTAACTGGCAAATCTGCAAATCTACATTTGTAGCTGGCAAATCTACATTTGTAGCTGGCAAATCTACATTTGTAGCTGACAAATCTACATTTGTAGCTGGCAAATTGTTAGAAAAATTTGAAACATTACTTCAACTAAAGCTAGATTCCTTGAAATCAGACTTTTTGTCAATTAAGCCGAAAGTTTTCGATTTTTTAAACAAATAAACACCCGTAAATCAAGTATTTTAGTGCTTTACGCGTTTTACAATTAACTATAACCAATCACAAAAATCATTGCTTACATTGAAACATTTTTTCTTTTCAGATTTCCTTTTCTAAACAAAGAAATTTTGTTAATTAAGCAAAAAATCGATTTCTTGGCACTTTTCAGAGCTTTTCGCTTAAAAAAATCATCTCGAAATCATAGAGTTTAAGGAATTTTAGCTTCAATTATGATTTAGCAAATAATCATAAAAAAAAATAGCAATAGGAGTGAATTAAATGACCTCACTAATGACCTCACTAGAGAACGTCGTGCCTGTAAGCTTTTAAAATGAGACCAACTCCATCTTATAGAATTGACTACGCTGATTCCGAATCTGTTTTCAGTTTTTCCCCTCGAGGCCTGTAACGCAAGATATCTGGGTTACAAGTTTTACCTCACTGCGCCCTACTGCACTTTACTTGAGTTCACCTAGCGCCAACTAGCGCCAAACCAACAAGAAGCCAACTAGCGACGTGGTGTATTGTCAAAGCTGCCGACTACGGGTTGAAAGGTCAAAGCTGTCAGTCTGGTTCAATCCCGTCAGTCTGGTTCGATCCCGTCAGTCTGGTTCGATCCCGTCAGTCTGGTTCAATCCCGTCAGTCTGGTTCAATCCCGTCAGTCTGGTTCAATCCCGTCCGCAGCCAATTTCCCTTGCTCAGCCAATTTCTTTTGGTTCAGAGTAGAAAGTCGAAAAATTCTATTTGAAAACTCGTTCAGAGTAATCTTACGAGTTTCCCAATTGAATTGAATTGAGCTAATTTTGATTTTGAAGCAAAGCTGGTAGAGAATAGAAATTTTTTACGGGTAGAAAGGATAAATAATGGCTAAAAAGGAACGATTCTATTCGAAAATCGATATTCATTTCAATTTTATTCAGATATTGTTAGAAATGTTAGAAATTTGAAAACCCCTTTTCAAATTCGACTCTCGACTGCAGCAAAATTGAAATAGTGGTCAAGATTGAGCCAAGATTGAGATTGAGCCAAGTTTGAGCCAAGATTGAGCCTAGGTTGAGCCAAGATTTTCTCGTATTATAAACAAACGAGATCTCAAAATGATATCGATTTACCCAACACGATTTTCAAAGATTTTCGTAAACAAACAACACTCATAAATCACTATCTGTCTATCTTTGACCCCTCCTCTCATCCTCTCCGTCAGACGCTCTCGCAATCTCTTCTTCTCAGCTACAGTATCCAACTCGTCATCTGTTTTCCCATTAGTTCAACTGGCCGTCGTCGAAAAGTCGTCAATCGGAGTTTTCAGCAGTGAAAAGAGAAGGGCATCTGTGTCGAAGTAGAAAAAGACAAAGAGGAGTTTCTCTTTGTCTTTTTGTCTTCTCTCTCTCTCTTTCTCTTTCACAAATCTCCCCCTTTTTCTCTTTTCTCTCAAAAACCATTTCAGGGACAAAGTTTCGGAGAGAAAAGGGCCGTTGTTTCTGTCTGTCACATGTCTTTTTCCACTTTTACTCCTTTTTCTCCAATTGAGACAATGATGTGGAGGCTGAAGACTTCAATGGTTTTCCGTTAGGGCAAAGATTTTGAAGAAAGAGAGAAGAAAGAGAGAAGAATTGAGTTGCTTCATAGTTGCTTTAGATGCTACATAGTTGCATCCTAATTCGATCATCTGTTCGATCTGTTCACTTGGAAACTCGAGTAGTTTAGTTTAGAAGTTTAGGAAGTTTAGGATTCAATTGTTTATAGAAATGAAAAGTTTAAGATTTTATATAAGAATCAAATTCGAATCCAGATGTTAATTCTAATCAAGCTAACTCAAATTTAATTCGAATTCAATTCAAATTCAATTCAAATTCAAATCAAATGCAATTCTAATTCGAATTCAATTCAAATTCGAATTCAAATCACTATTCACAACTTCAAGATCACTGATGATCACCGATCATCGATCGGAATCATCAATATCATCGATCGGAAGTCTAAAAGTGAAGAAAAGTGTACCATTGCAATATCTACTAGTCTTTTAATGTAATACCGATAGAAATTGTCATGCCGATAGATATTGCATATGATTTGAGATCAAATCCTGGATGATCTTGGGATTTCGGAGCATGCAAATGGCACTTTTCTGATTCAGAATTTCATGGAGAACGATTAGTGCCATTTGCTGGACGATCCAGCAACTTTTCTGAACAAAATAACACATCAACGGCAACGAAAGATCCAAAGAAAGATCCAACAAAAGATTTCGAACCAATTTAAAACCAATTCCAACCTTGAACCTTATCAAAATACTTGCTTAAGCTAACTAACTAGTTAGCTAGCTAGCTAACTAACTAGCCAGCTAGCTAGCTAGCTAACTAACTAGCTAGCTAGCTAACTAACTAGCCAGCTAACTAAAACGCTAAGCTTAACTTCAACTCAAGTCAAGCCTAACTTAAGCTTCAATTAAACTTTAATTTGAAACATGACTCCTCTCAGAGCAAGCGAAGATCACTTTCGTTTAAAAAGACACTTTACAATCTATTTCTATCTATTTTTATCCATTTTATCGACATAAACAAGAAATTTGATTCGTTTTCCTTTCGAAAACCTTCCAATCGATCGAATCATCGGAATCTATTTTGTGGTGGGGAAAAAGGACGTCCTTGAGCCACCTCACCATCGCCATGCATTCCCCTACACAACCGTCCCCTTCCCCCACCTTCTCCCCCCACCTTCTCTCCTCTTCCTCTTCCTTTTTTCTTCTCCAATTCTCAACGATCTTCTTTTTCTTCTTTTCCTTCTTTTCAAATTCTTTTTCTCATTCTTTTTTTTCAAAAAGTTAAAGGATAGATTCGAGAGATGAGAATCGCCTATTTTTGAACGGTTTCTTTTCCCGTTTTGCACTTTTCACTGAATCTATCAAAGTAATTGGGGGAATGGTGAAAAATCTAGATTTTAAATGATTTTAAATGATTTTAAATTGATTTTAAATGATTTTGAATGATTTTAAATGATTTTAAATGATTTTAAATGATTTTAAATTGATTTTAAATGATTTTGAATGATTTTAATTGATTTTAAATGATTTTAAATGATTTTAAATGATTTTAAATGATTTTAAATGATTTTAAATGATTTTAAATTGATTTTAAATGATTCCAAATGATAAATTGAAAGCTTGAAAGCTTTTTTCAAGTTGGAAGGCTAATTGACTAACTAAATAGTCAACGAAATTTCAACATTTCATAGATTTATGCAAAAAGTATCTTCTTATTCCATTTAAAAGTTTAAAGTCAATAGCCAATAGTCAATTAAAGTCAATAAATAAGCTAAGAATGAAATGTTTCAAAAAAGGGAACACTGCCAGTAATTGGTGAACTTTCAAGCCAGCCAATTGGTGAATAAGTTCAATTTCGGAAGCTTATTCTAACAATGTTATCTAAACAATCAAAGTTATCTAAAGAATGAAGATCGTTGAGAATTGGATAGGATTTTCAATACATTTCTAAACAAAACATTTCCAGAATGGTCACTCGGAGACAACGGTGAGCGGTGAGTGGGTGAACGAGCAGCAATCGTACTCGATTTCGAACAACACCCCGCAAATGTTGCTGAAATGCGCCGAGTGTGGGCTGGGAAAGAATAGCTCGGAGGAATTGGAGGTAAACAATCACAGCACAATTCGAAAGGATAAAGGTCTACAGCTAACATAAATAGTCCGAAACGGTAGCCAAGGCAAAAATGACTTTGTCGTCAATGTGTTCGTTCGAGTCGATTACCCTATTCTCTCTAATAGTAGTGCACTTTGAGCCTCGCCTAAATTCCTCGAAATCTCGAGAACCGCTTATCAGAAGCTATTGATGTGGGGTCAGAAAATGTAGCTGACGATGAGATCTAGTGGGGGATTAGAGTGTTGAGCTTCTGTAAAAGCTTGGAAACCGTAAAATAGTCATCAACTCGGCACTACTATTAGGGAAATACGGTATGCGAAAATTAAGGAACAATTTGATGTATATTATAAAAAGAAAGCCAAAAGGCTCAACAATTCCTTGGAAACTAGTTGTATCTCTTTTTAAATATCTATAAGGTACGCTAAAAAACACTACCGTAATCTGTAGTACCGTAATCTGGAACGGCGCGTCGTGTAAGCGTAAGAAAATAGCAATTGTTAGCTAGAAAACAGCTAGAAAATAGCAATTGTTGAGCCTTTTGGCTTTCTGTAGTTCAACCTTTGCTTTTGACATGAATCAGCAGATTTCTCGTGGATAATTAAAGCCCGTGTATATTTAAAACTCTCAAACCTCTTCACTACTTTCCTTATCTTGAAACAAGACTTTTTCAACAAAACAAGAATCCGTAATCAGTGTGTTTTTGCTTACAGATCATTGACTACTATAGACTACTATAGACAACGACTACGATATTAAAGTTCCCACACCTCAATTGAGTTGAAAGTAAAGTTCTGTAAAAAGTACAGCTTAAAGTTAGCTTTCTTTAGTTTAACCGTATGCTTCTGACATGAATCAGCAAATTGCTTGCAGGTGATTAAAGCTCTCAAACCTCTTCACTACTTTCCTTATCTTGAAACAAGACTTTTTCAACAAAACAAGAATTAACAATCAGTGTGTCTTTGCTTACAGATCATCGATCTGTAAGCAAAAACTACTATAGACTACCATAGACTACTATAGACTACTATAGACAACGACTACTATATTAAAGCTCCCCACACCTCGATTGAGTTGAAACTAAAGTTTTGTAAAAAGTTACAGCTTAAAGTTACAGCTTTTGGTCTTGTGCTCAAAATGTGAACATGGATTTGCGTTGATCACTTGAAATCTCAGTTCTCTATCCCGCAATAAATCTCCCCAATTCCAGGTTCACATCAAACAAGAGCACCTGCAATGGTTGCCCTTCCAATGTCCGATTTGTTTGAACGAGCGTGCATCTGATGCTCAAATGCGTGAACATCTCTACTCAGCGCACAAGAAAAACATGAACAAATTCATCTACGTCGACAACGTGCAAGCGAAGAGGAATCTGCAGATCTTGATGGATCGATCGTTCAACCACGCGATGACTCAGGTTCGATACTGGGAAATTGAAAGTGAAGCTAAAGTTTTGCAAAGCTAGTCAAGCTTTCGGACTAGCTTTGCAGCTTAAGCTCAACAGAATTCAAATCCGGATTCTTAGGCCTTCATTCTGAAGCTGTTCACTTTGCAAGAAGTCTTTTTCAGGGCTCCAACCCATCATCCACCACAAACTCTCGTCGTGGCCCGCTTGGCGCGTTGAATGGCCGATCGAACGGGCTAATGGTCAACAATTTGGCCACACAGTTGATGGCACAACAAGTGAAAGAACAAAAGGATAATAAGGAGATTGTTTCGGTGAGGTTTTGAAGTGCTAGCTGGCTGTCCAGAGAGGTTTCGAATGTCCAGAAAGTTTATCTGAAAAAGCCTAATCAACACATCTAGTCAGTAATCAAGAAAACCCGATTTCAGATCAATCTAAACGGCACCTCTGACTCGAACTCGACAATTCGAAGCCAGTCACCCAGGTAGAAGATAAATAAGTTTTAAAACAAAACTGAGCTTTGCTCTTGGTCAAATTTCAAAAATTTCTTCAATCTTTCCATTTAGAAACACTTCATTTTCTCGGAAACGTGATCACGATTCGGCGTTAAACGGGAATCTCTCGATTGGCAGCAGCAACACCGATGCGCTTTTGGCACAAATTGAGGCAACCACTGGCGGCACAGGAAATGATGATGATTATGGTGAGTGGTACTTTGTGCTCAAAGCTGTAAACACATCGTTCCTGGTGCAGTGAATGCTTTACATTTCTCGGAGAGCTAAAGCATTGCTATGAGGAAAAGAAGAATTGAATGTGGTAGAAGATCTGAAGAGCTGAAGAGCTGAAGAGCTGAAGAGCTGAAGAGCTGAAGAGCTGAGATCCAAAGGAATCCAATTGAAGTCATGCCTTTCGACTGGCCTCATCTAATCTTGAAACATCAACTTTTCAATTCAAACTTGGAAATTCCACAAATCTAAAAGTTCTTCTAGCTTCGTTTGAGCATAATTAATTCAAATCAATGTTTGATTGAAAGGCTATTTTAAAATCAAATTTTCCATTTTTCCATTCAGATGACGCGCTCGGGCATCTCGCGATGATTTTCACGAATTCGAAGCGAATGAAGAACGAGGGAAGCAACGAGGATGATGACTTGAGACTCTCTTCTTTAAACGATGAGGATTGCTTCTCAGGAGCCGATCCTAGCTCAGGTATGTGCACAAAATGAAGGACAATATAGAATTTTGAAAAAATAAGTATCCTGGGTAGTGTAAATTTACCGAAACTCAGTTTTGTTAGGCTTTTAGAAAATCTTTTCTTTCCCTTTCATACTTTTGTTAAAAAAAATAACAAATTCCCCAATGAATCATGCTTTTCTCTCAATAAAAAGTGTTTATTGATCAATTTTCTATCTTTTAAGTGAATTCGAACCAATTTATCGATCAATTTCCATCTTTTTAAGTCAATTTTGATTCACTTACAAGCAAATTCGAGAGGGAAAAACGGATTTTTTTTTGTAGAAACTATGAAAACCTCCACGGAAAAATTGGCTGAATGAATTTCTCTGAAACTTTGGCTATATACCAAACTTTTTGTGCTCTATCTTTTATCTATAGACACAAAGATAGGTTTCCTTAGCTAAAAGTGTCTAAATCGAATCATCAAGCGACTTTTTGACTACCCGACTTTAGGAAAACAAAAAAATCCAAGCATAAGACATTTAAAATCCGTTTTAATGCTATTTTGTAGAAAAATAATTGAGCTTTCTAATGAAAGAAATTGTAGTTTAATTGATTTTAATGTAGCTTAATTGGTTTTAATGTAGTTTAATTGGTTTTAATGTCGTTTAATCGGTTTTAATGTAGTTTAATCGGTTTTAATGTAGTTTAATTGGGTTTAATGTAGTTTAATTGGGTTTAATGTAGTTTAATCGGTTTTAATGTAGTTTAATTGGTTTTAAACGAAAGTACGAAAAAGAAAGAAATGGAAAATGATAGGCTAATCACTACCTAGAGATCGTGGAATTATTCCGTTACTTTCGCTTTTCATACCCCGAAACTTGAAACTCAACTTTTCAAACTGGAGTCTTTTAGTAAAAGTAGTAAAAGTAGATAAACTCTTAAAGTAAGCAGTAAAAAGCTTTGGTTACTTAGAAAGACTAGTTTACAGCTAGAAAATTTAGCAAAGAATACAATAATCTAAACAGAACTTTAACAAAATAAGCATAATTCTTCATTTTTCTCATAGCAATGCTTTAGTTGTGTGAGAAAAGTGAAGAATTGAAGAATTGAGTGCAATGTATTGTTTTTTTTCAACCATTTTTTATGGTGTTCAAATTGAAACACATTTGGCAGCAAATTTGAGGCTTAAATTGAGAAAATCGAACTCAATAATGTGAATTTATAAAGAAATTCTAAAAATTGGAAGTCTTTTTATTTTTTGATAGCGGCTTTCAGCTTTCAGCAGATGGAGAATAACTTCTAAATTGAAACACAGCTTTTTGGATCTAGTTTTAGGTCCTTGAAATGTTTTATATGTTTAGGAAAATGAATATAAGTATTTGAATTGATAAAATAAATAGTTTACATAGTTTTTATTAATTTATTACAATTTTTTAGTTCTCGACTCTCTTTTCGCAAACGTTTCAGCGGTTGTGAATGGCGGTGACAACGCGACAAACGACGAGTTCCACATGAACACCAAATTCGGGAAACACTCGCCATTGTGAGTGAAATTCGCAAGAGATTTCGTATTAGCTTAGAAAAAACTGGTAACAATGAGAACAACAATGAGAACAACAATGATAAAACAAGGAAGAAATTAATCAAAGGTCGTGCTCTTCACAGAATTACTTCTTTTAAAGCCAGCTGATAAAGAAGAAAGTTGAAACATGGAAATTTTAATCCAAGATTCAATTGATTTAATTCAATATTCAATATTTAACTCAATATTCAGTTAACTTAATTCAATATTCAATTGATTTAATTCAATTCAATTATGCCAAACGAAAGGAATTCAGTCTTCGTCTAGAAATAAACAAACAAAACAAACAAAACAAAAAAACAAAAAAAAAAACAAACTTTTTTAGTTTCAACTCTTCAAAGTGATCAAAAATCTTCACTTTGAAGATTTTGAAGAGTTTAAACTTGAAGAAAACGATTGAAATCTGATTTTTCAGACTTATCCATAAACATTTTGAAACTCGTGCTTTTCAGGATGACAAAAAAGCGCGTGTTGGGCGAATGCTCGAAATGTCAGAAGCCAGTGACAGCCGGCGCCCGCCAAATGCACATGTTCTACCATTTGGGAAAAGATCATGGAGTGGGTTTTTGAAAATTCAGCTTTTAAAAAGTTTTTGACTTCTTTACAAGCACTTTAAAGTCCACAATAGTAGATTAGAATCAAAAAATGCTCAGCTTACGCATATTTCAGATTAAAGCTAAGATTAAAGCCCAGATTAAAGCTCAGATTAAAGCTGAGATTAAAGCTGAGATTAAAGCTTAGATTAAAGCTCAGATTAAAGCTAAGATTAAAGCTGAGATTAAAGCTGAGATTAAAGCTGAGATTAAAGATTCAGCAGAAAGATACTCAGTCTATTATTTGAGTAATGGCAATTTCAAAGTCATAAGATGATTTGAAACCTCGGCAATCCAGTCTACGCAAAAATTTGAAACTCAACAATAAAAAAATAACAAACTAGACAACAAAAACAACATCTAGATTTCAATTTTAGCAAATTTTTTTTGAAGATGCTTACCTATTAGCTTCTTTGGCAATTGAATTTTGGCTTCATAAAAGTTGAAACACAAATCCTAGATATTTCATTTTCTAGATTTTCCGCTTCCGATGCAAATTTGAGGGATGCAACATTGAGCATTATCGCAAGGATCAAATGGAAAATCATCACAGCAAGGTTGGGGAATTACTTCATAAAATAATCGATCGAAATTTCAAAATCATAAGATCAGAATCAGAATCAGAATCAAATCAGAATCAGATCAGAATCAGATCAGAATCAGAATCAGAGGTTGAGAGAGGTTGGGAACCAAATTTAGAGAGTTATGAAACCAGATTGAGAGAGGTTGGAACCAAATTTAGAGAGATATTTGATTGCATGATTTGCAACTATTTTCACAAATTGGGACCAAATTTCTTTTAAAATTTAAAAAGAAATAGGGTTAAAGAAGAGTGATTCCGTTTTTTATACTAAACGAATTTTTCATTTCTCAGGTTCACGGCCGCATCGACCCGGAAATGATGGAGGATCGCTCGCTCGAGCTCTATCAACGCTGTCAGGTATACAAAGTTCGTTTGCTCTTTTCCCCAACTTCACTTCTATTCCCCAGATGCATTTTTCCCATATATGTGTTCGTGTTTACATCGGGATTGAGTAAATCGGAGATTTGAGAAAAATAGATCATGAATTTGATTGTTTTTAGCAATAAGTGGGGAGAATAAAAGCTCTAACGCTAGTGAAAAGTTTGTGTTTCAAAAAGGGTAACTTTGGGTAGAAAAATGAACGGTTAATACCCCAATCATGTCGTGATCATAATTAAAGCTTTCAAAAATTTCGAATAAAAGGAAAATCTTCAATCCTTTGTTGAATATTTCTATTCCGGCATAGTACAGTTTACAGTACCCTTATCATTACCTTTACAATGTAGCGGATGTAGCGATGTAATGTAAAAGGATGTAGCGATCAAATTCTCCTTTCAACCAATCCATTTTCTAAAAGACAACAATTCTATTCAGCTACCGTAATCTAACCGCCAGTTTTCATTCGATTAGCTCAATTTTGGGGTCATTCGATGAGCGATTTCTTCAGCCTTAGAAGATGAGGTCTAAGGCTGAAGAAATCGCTCATCGAATGACACCAAAATTGAGCTAATCGAATGAAAACTGACAGCTAGATTACAGCCGTTAAATATTAGCTTAGAAAACAGGTTTAACGGAAGAAAACTGACAGCCAGAATACAACAGTTACATCTTAGCTTCTTAGAGAACGGGTTAATCGAAAGGAAACTGACAGCCAGAATACAACAGTTAAATCTTAGCTTCTTAGAGAACGGGTTAATCGAAAGGAAAATGACAGCTAGATTACAGCCGTTAAATATTAACTTCTTAGAAAACGGGTTAATCGAAAGAAAACTTTTTAAGTTAATGTTCACCAATCAAAAGAAACAAAAGAAACTAAACACTAAATGAAATCCCATACCAGTAATTCATTTAAACTTGAAACACTAAATTTTTAAAACATTAAAACATTCATTTAAACTTGAAACTTTAGATTTTCAACCGAGTTTTGTTCCTTATTTACAATCATTTAAATCTTTAAATGATTCACAAGCATTTAAATCTTCATGTAGTTTGTAAATTTCCAATAAATTTCCAAAAATATGCCTTTTAAATCCCTTTCAACATTCGAAACATTTGAAACTTTCAAGAATCGAAATTTCAAATCTCAATCCCAATCTCAATCCGGATGTGGGGGCTCGTTTTGTTGTCGTTTTTTGGTTTTGGTGATGGTGATTGGTGTTGTTTATTTGTGTTTCCCTTTCCTAAACTAGTTTTTTTAAATTTCACATATTTCCACTTGTCATTTAGTTTAAAAAGTTCTACTGACAAACAAAGTGACAAAAGATTTATCAAAAACACCTTTAATAGAGAAACCAAGCACCCGTCGACGAGTTTGAAAGCTTAAACATCTAAGCTTAACCTAGCTTTAGTCAACCACTAGCTTTAGTCATGATTTTAGTCATGATTTTAGTCATTTTAGTCATTCTATTCATGATTTTAATCATTTTAGTCATGATTTTAGTCATTTTAATCATTTTAGTTATCATTTTAATCATTTTAGTTATCCTAGAATTATGATTTATTAACTTACTTTACAAAAACTTGTTAAATTTCTATTTTTAGGATAAAATCTTTAACATAACTAGTCAATTTCTCTAGTATAATAACTAATAATGAGACTCTCGTTTCCATCTTCTGTCCTATTTCTATTTCTGTCCAGTATCTCTCGTGTAAAGCCGTGAATTCTTTAAACATATCAAGAAAAACTAGTTAGTTACATATTTTTGTAAGTTAAAAATTGAATTCTATCGTATTCTATAGTAATTCTGTAGAATTTTATCGTATTTCCTCTACATAATCGAGGCTAAGTCGTCAAAAAAGTCGATAAACTCCTTTCAAACCTGGTTTGAACTTAACCCTTGACTTAACAAACTAACCAAAGCCATAGAATTTTAGTTTTCTTTATTCTTCTAAGATTTTACGGTTCTATGTTCTTTGTTGTCTGTGTTTCCTCAAAAAATTTCTCGATTTTTTCTTTCCCAAATGTTGTCACGTGGCCATTTCGCGGTTTTTTCCAGGAGCTTTCCCGTGAGCTTTTCGTCCCCTCGGGCACTTTTTCTTCAGGCGGAAAACACAGCGATCATCGACAGAGAAGCTCAGAAGAAAAGGTAAAGAAGATGAGGAAATGTATAGTATACTTTCATTGTGAAAACGGCTAGAAGTGTTGATGAAAAATTGGTTCACTATTTGGAGGGTAATTGCCAGAAATCCTAGCTCTAAGGTACTCTTTAGATTGGGTACCCAAATCTTAGAAGAATAAAGACCCGTAAAATCCCGTAAGGTACCCACTAAGGTACCCACTAAGGTACCCTCTAAGGTACCCACTAAGGTACCTTCTAAGGTACCCTCTAAGGTACCCTCTAAGGTACCCACTAAGGTACCCACTAAGGTACCTTCTAAGGTACCTTCTAAGGTACCCACTAAGGTACCCACTAAGGTACCACTAAGGTACCCTCTAAGGTCCCTTTGGAGTGTAATTGCCTTGTGAAAATAGTGAACCAATCCATCGACAGTCAGTCCAAACCAGACTTATAAAAAAAACATCTATCGACTTTTCGTCGTTGGCAATTTAAGGTTTTTCATGTTTTTCTCAGCACTAACCCTTAGATTTTGACTATTTTGATTATCATTCGATGCAGAAGAACATTATGCGTCGAATGATATCAAAATTAACTCAAAATATAAAATCCACACAAAGTTGTTAGCTAAAAACCCCGTTATGAACGGGACTTAACCTTTTGCCTCATAACTTTGCATAGATATTACATTTTGAGTTAATTTTGATATCATTCGACGCGCAACTTTCTTCTGCATTGAATGCTAATCAAAATAGACAAAATCGAAGGGTTAGTGCTGAGAAAAACACGAAAAATCTTAAATTGGCTACGGTAAAAAAGAAAAGACAGATGTTTTCGTTATAAGTCAAATCCAGAGTACAGTAAATCCGTTGTGCTGACATCTAGCGCACAAAAAAACAAACTTAAAAGCCTTAAAAACAAAGAAACCTTCTCTTCATCAATTCTACTCATCAATTAACCCCATATTTTGCATGTCACTTTTCATCGCATGTTTTGCACGTTTGCTTGCTGGCTTGCTGGCTTTTATATGTTGTGTTTCAGTTTTTAAATTCGAAACTAACAAAATAAGAATTTCTTAGATTTTAGGCTTAAATAAACCTAGTATTAATTTAAAAATAAAAAAAAATTTGACGAACATTAATTGCGAATTTTCAAATTTCACCCAAAAATATTTGAAACATTTGTTTTATTTTTGAGAAATTAATTAAAATTTTAATCAAAATTCGTATTTAAACCACCAAAAAGCATTAAATACTTGGATTTTCAGCTTTTAAATCAAATTGTCTCTAGATCTTTAGGATTTTTGAAACATTCTTTTTTTCAGCTCATTGAGTTTCAGCTCAAATCTTTCCCAGAACCCACTAATCACTAATTACTGTGAGAAAAAAATCGATAACTCAAAACTAAGCAAAACTAGCATAACTCAAAACAAAAAGCTTCACTAATCATTTTTGTGCTAAATAAACTCTTTTCTGAATGTCCAGGACTTGTCGATGGAGTTGCTGGGGACGAACAATTGCTCGCCGGGGCCAACAGCAGCCAAAGCAGAGATCGCCTACAATGCACAACTCGTCGAACAGAAAAGGAAACATTCCGAGAAACCTCGGCGAAAGGTGCGATTTGAGGAGTTCTTGAAAATCCGTTTTCGGTCGAGAGCAAAAAAGAAAGAAAACTTTTTAGAAAACCGTTTTCGAAACGGATAGAAAACGTTTTCGAAAACGTTTTCTATCCGTTTCGAAAGCGGATTTGAGCCAAAAACGGATAGAAAACGGATTTTTTGGCCAAAAACTCTGCTATTCAGGATTACTTGTTTAAAAGATTTGAAAATTTGCTGCAATTTGCTGAAATTTGTTGAAATTTGCTGAAAAAAACTAAAAACTGTCCAAAAAAATGTCCATTGTCTATCAAAATTTCATTCGGGTTGAGAGCGACGTGGATTTTGAATTGCTTGTTTCAAAATTTTTCATATTAAATCTAAAGCCAGTGTGGTAATTGACAGAAGTCTTCTCCAAAATCCCGACTCTCTCACTAACATTTTAAGCCCGAATGATGTCATTGTTCAAAAAAAAAATGATGCCTTTTTGAGTTTCATTTCTTTTTTTTATTGCCAAATAGCACGAGAATCACTTTTTCTTTTAAAAGATTGAATAAGATTGAATAAGATTGAATAAGATTTTATAACCTCACCAATGACGATCAGTTAAAGATTTTTCTGACTTTCTCCTAGCGAAAAGTCTAGCGAAAAGATTAAAAATAGTCTTTTTCTGAATCGATTAGATAAATTGGCTTTATTTCTTGTGTTAAACTGGAAACTCGAAACGAATTCACTTCTTTTACAGGAGGGTAATGACTTGGCAAATCGACAGGAGGGTATCGACTTGGCAAAGCAAGCCGATTCCCTAGCGAAAAGTCTAGCGAAAAGGCTAAAAAAATAGTCTTTTTCTGAATCGATTAGATAAATTGGCTTTATTTCTTCTGTTAAACTGGAAACTTGAAACGAATTCACTTCTTTTTCAGGAGGGTACTGAATCGACTTGGCAAAGCAAGCCGATTCCCGACGACGAGCACCCGTTGGTGTGCCGGAAATGCAAGAAAACGATGCAAAATCGGGTTTGTCCTTGCGATTCGTAAAGAAATAAGTTTTGAAATCTTTGAAAGAATGGAAATTTCTTGAAAATATTTCTTTTTTTAAACGTTAATATATTTGGCTTTTGCATTTGAGTATTTAAAAAAAAAATTGTGTTTCAAATTTTCTGATTAAATCTGAGATTTCAAATTTTTATTGCAAAAATTTGAAACTTTAAATTTTCAATTTCCAAAAATTTCCAAAAATCCTTCAAATATATTAACGTTTTATTTTTTTGATTTTCCTTTCTTGTGATACAAATTTCAGAAAACTTTTAGTCGTATTTAAAAGCATTTTTCAATATTTTAAACCCATTTTGACAAAGGTTTAGTTTTGAAAATTATCAAATATTCAACTGTTTGCATATTTTTTTTTCAAAATTCCCCCAATTCTCCAGAATTTTGAAACATTTGAACAAAAAAAAGGAATTCTTTGCAGGAAAATGTCTCTAGTTGCTTCTTTTTGCCCCAAATCGTTGCCATTTTTTTTGTGTTTCAAACGATTCCGAGTAGTGAATAATAGTCTTTCTTAGTGGATTCTGGAATGATTTCAAGTTGAATTTGGAATTGAATTTGGATTTGAATTTGAATTTAAATTTGGAATTGAATTTAGCTTTGAATTTTAGTTTGGAATTGAATTTGGGTTTGCATCTGAATTTGAATTTGGATTTGAATTTGATTTTGGGTTTGAATTTGAATCTAAATCTGAATCTAAATTTGAATCTGAATTTGAATCTGAATTTGAATCTGAATTTGAATTTGAATCTGAATTTGGAGTTGAATTTGGAATTGAATTTGGAATTGAATTTGGAGTTGAATTTGAATTTGGAATTGAATTTGAATTTGGGTTTGAATTTGAACCTAAATTTGAATCTGAATTTGAATCTAAATTTGAATCTGAATTTGGAATTGAATTTGAATTTGAATCTGAACTTGAATCTCGATCTAAATTTTAATCTAAATTTAAGTCTAAATTCGAATTTGGAATTGAATTTGGAATTTGATTCTGAACTTGAATCTCGATCTAAATTTGAATCTAAATTTGACTTTGACCTTGAATTTGAATTTGAATTTAAACCTAAATTGAAATTCGAATTTGAACTTTCGAATTGAGGATGAAAAATGACAAGAAAGCTGGCTTGATGGCTTGATGCTTTAGCGAGCATTTTCACTGGAAATCGGAAAACTCAGCATTTTTAGAAGTGCCAAGTCGAAATTGTGCCTCAATTTCCATTATCAAGCCTAAACTCTTGTCATTTTCTCATCAGCTAAAAAATTTCAGTTTAATCAAAAGCTATTCTGGCCCTAGAAAGAGAGTTTCGCGTGCTAAATTTGGTGAAAACCGACTTAGCAAAACGAAATCTCGCCTAAAAGCTCGATTTTTTGAAATTTGTTTTTAAAAATTTCAATCTAGGGCTTTAAGAATAGCTTTGAAACTGAAATTTTTTCATTCTCTTCTCAAATTTCGTAACTTTGCCAATGAAACAGAATAAATGCAAATTTTCCTTAGTTTGTTTCGCTGAGAAATTTGCTGAGAACTATTAGAAGTATTAGAAAGTATTAGGAAGTATTAGAAAGTATTAGAAAATCAATTCATTTCAACGTAAACTATGAAAAAGCTTGTTCTAAAGCTTGAAAAAGCTTGTTCTAAGGCTTGAAAAAGCTTGTTTTAAAGCTAAGGAAGCTGGTCCTAAAGCTAAAAAAGCTTGTTTTAAAGCTAAGGAAGCTGGTCCTAAAGCTAAAAAAGCTTGTTTTAAAGCTCAAAAAGCTCGTTTTAAAGCTAAAAAGCTTATTCTAAAGCTAAGGAAGCTTGTCCTAAAGCTAAAAAGCTTGTTCTAAAGCTAAAAAAGGTAAAAAAGTTTGTTCTAAAGCTTGAAAAAGCTCGTTTTAAAGCTAAAAAGCTTAAAAAGGCAAAGAAGCTTGTCCTAAAGCTTGAAAAAGCTTAAACAAAGCTAAAGAAGCTTGTTTTTAAGCTTAAAAAACCTAAAAAGGCTTCATTTTTCATACAAAAATCAATTTGCATTTTAAATAGTGAAGGCAGAGTTATGGAATTTCTTTTTTTTTTTTTACTCATTTTCCCATCGATTCCATTTGCGATTATTTTCTTTTTCAATTTCTTTTCCAATTGTTTTCCTCTCCCAAACGAACCCTTGCCTCAAAAGACGTGTTACGGTGCCTTCCGAGATTTTTTTAAACAAAAAAAAAGACAAAAAATTAAGTGAACTTTTATCAGTATCAAAATTTTTTTATTATTTTTTTTTTGCCATTTTTCCTATCTTAATAAATCAATCGAAAAAATTGATCTTTTCTTTGAAAAATTTGCATATTTATTCTTCTTATAGCCGGGCACACAGACCAAAAAAAAAAGCTCTAACCAAGCCTCGGAGAAATGAGATTTCAGGAAATTAAACCTTTCTTTTGATGTTTCAAAAAATAATGTTTCAAAATTTTACTCATAAATTCAGAAAGCCAAAAATTAATTCACAAATTTTGTTTAATGAAGAAAAATTCCTTTTTGCAGCCATTTTCAAATCTCATTTCTCTTCATTCCAAAAAAGAAAAATTGTCCCGTCTTTTTGTCCGCCGTTTTCCTCATCTCGCCTCATTTTTTTTTTCAAAAACACCTGAAGGCATCGGTTCGGTTTTTAATTTGAAAAAAAAGAAAAGTTGTGTTTCACTTTTTTCCGCATTACTTTCTCTTATCGAAGCTCATTTAGAGTGTGTTCCTCTCGAGTTTTCTAAACTTCTAATTCGCTTTCTAAAAAGCCACTATTTGAGAAAAGTTTCGTAGCGAAAAGCAAAAGCTATTTTAAACTAAACACCCTGCTAATACCGTAGTACTGTAATTATTACTGTAATAAAATTCTACGAAGCTTTAGAGAAAGCTTTGGCTGTTATAAAGTACCCTAAAACTTTCAAAATAGCTCTAGACAGCTCTGGACAGCTCTAGACAGCTCTAGACAGCTCTAGACAGCTCTGGACAGCTCTAGACAGCTCTAGACAGCTCTAGACAGCTCTAGACAGAAACCATTCGTTTACATTCGCTTACATTTCGTTTACATTCTACTACTTTGTCTACTTAGCAGTACACCGAGATCTATTAGGTATTTATTGGTTAAACACTGATGTCTCATTCTGGGATAGGCAGTCAATATGGGACAGGCTAATTTCCGCAATTCTTTTTTGCGCAACTGGGTCATTTGCGCAACTCGCCATAACTTTCTTCTAAGTCAGCCAATCTTTATGATTTGTGGTGTCATTTTGTTACACTTATTGAGATCTACAAAATGACACCACAAATCATAAAGATTGGATGAATTAGAAGAAAGTTATGGCGAGTTGCGCAAAGGACCCAGCTGGGCAAAGGAACCTGTTGAGCAAATAAAATGGCGAAAATTAGCCTATTCTTCTTTAATTTTCTTTAAACTCATTCTTTAAGCTAAATGCGATTCTTTTTGAAACACAACTTTCTCCACCATTTTTCTCCAAACCGAACCAATCGCCCGACAAGAATCTAATCTTTTTTTTTCATTTTTCTCTCGCTGGCAACGTAACACGTTTTTTCTCGCGTCCAGGGTCTCGTCACTAGATTGGTTTCCTTTCAATTGAATCGTTTTCTAAAAAATTGCAAAACTACCGTAATCCAGTCATTTGACAGATAGAAATTAATGAAATTAATCAAAAAAAATAGCATCGTTTAAATTTCAAGACTGCTCTCTTGAAGACTTACGACTTGAAGACTTGAAGACTTGAAGACTTGAAGACTTGAAGACTTGAAGACTTGAAGACTTGAAGACTTACGACTTCAAGCCTTCAAGCCTTCAAGACTTGAAGACGATAGCTTTAAGATTTACGATAACTTCTAGATTACGGTAGTTTTCTAATCTTTTAAAAAACGGCTCAATCGAAAGCCCAATCTATTCGTCACCAAAGAATTTCCCCGCAAAAGAAAGAGAAACAAATGATATTTTTTTCTTTGCCCCACTCAACCCACAGCTTTGTGTCTCTAACGCTTTGGAATTATCCAAAAAAAAAGAAAAAAACATTGACACTAACTTGAGTATTTCTTAGTTTTTCTTTTTTGCTGGCTTACCTAATCAAAATCAATGTTTCAAACTAACATTTGTGGCTAATATTCACTTGCAGATTCGCGGCTTTCACATTCTTTGGCATTTGGCTAAAGATTTGAACATCAATCGGTACACATGCAAATTCTGCGATTTTGGACATGATCGGTGGGTGAAAAAAACAAATTTTTAGTGATTTTTGGTGGTTTTTGGTGATTTTTGGTGATTTTTGGATGAAAAGCTGAATAAGAAATGAATTGCGTTAAGTTAAATTCAAATTTTTCGACTCTATACGTTGACAAAAACTGCAATAAACATAAATAAACATAAATAACCATAAATAAACAATAAATAAACATAAATAAACATAAATAAACATAAGTAAACAATAAATAAACATAAATAAACATAAATAAACATAAATAAGCATAAATAAACAATAAATAAACATAAATAAACATAAATAAACAATTTTAAAATAGAAAAATAAACGATTTGAAAATTTCGTAGAATCAGATCCCATTTGTAAGTCGATGTTTCAAAGTTTCTCAAGTTCTATTGGCTCAAAAACCTTTAATGGTCCATTGTATAGGGTGCGTCATAATTATTGCAACAAGATACTCAAGGCATTGCACACCAAGAAGTTTCACTGGAAGAAGATTTTTAAACAGAAATAGCTTTATTTAACAGTAACAAATAAGGAAACAAGAGATCATTCGATATGATCGCCTTTTGCCTTGATAACAGCCCTTAATCGGTTCGGATATGCCTTCACTGCGGCCCGAATGTCATCTTGAGGAGTCGCCTTCCATCCTTTGGTCAAAGACTTCTTCAAGGTCAAAGACTTCTTCAAAGAATCCAAACTTTTGTGTTTTCGAGAGCAGACATTAGCCTCTAAGATTGCCCAAATGGAAAAGTCCATCACATTGAGATCCGGTGAGTTTGGAGGCCATTCATCCTTGGTGATCACTGAGGGAAAGTTGGCCATACACCAGTCCTGAACCGTCTTCTTCGTCTTCTTTGGGCAATTAGGCAAGAATAAAGAAGATAGAACGCAACACAACAAAAAAGGGGGCAAAAAAATAAGAAAGCTGTTTGGAAAACGGTCTTTGAACTCTTGTTGCAATAATTATGACGCACCCTGTAGACTTGTGTTTCGGTTGGCTCTTTTCGGTTCGGTTTCGGTTCCGGTTCAACCGAAGTCAACCGAAATCTTTCGGTTCGGTTCGGTTCCGGTTCCGGTTCAACCGAAACACAAGTCTAGTTCATTGTAAATTCGATATACGCAAATTTTTAGCTCACAAAGCGTACAAACTCACGGCAAACGCGAGCATCAAAACGAGGACTGCGTTTTAGATCGAATTGATGTAAGTTTAAAACTTGTGTTTCAAAATTGAACATTTCTAAAGAATTGGCTTTTGGTTAGTGGTTGAAGCATTTTGGTGAATTTTAGAAAAGATTTGTTTCAAATTCTGACAGGTGAGAAACAATTGAATAGGACAGCCGACTCTCTCTATGACGGAAATCTAACGTAAATCATAAAGGAATGGAATTGTAGTCCCAACCAAGGCTAAGCTTTATATAATGGCACTCTAGATAACGGAAATCATAAAGGAATGGGATTTTGGTTCCAACCAACGCTAAGCTTTATATAATGGCACTCTCTATAACGGAAATCTACATAAAGGAATGGAATTTTGGTTGTGGCCAAAATATAGAAGCGAGATCCTTGAAGACTGAAGTGGGGAAGGGTTCCACGTGAACAGCAGTTGAATGTGGGTCAGTCGATCCTAAGATACTGACGAAAGTCTTGTATCACTGGGAGCGGGAAGTCTCTTCTCTCTCGGCAATTGAAATGGAAACGGGTTAATATTCTCGTACCCGGTATCGCGGCCGATGCTAAGCTTTATATAATGGCACTCTATATAACGGAAATCTACATAAAGGAATGGAATTTTGGTCCCAACCAAGGCTAAGCTTTATATAATGGCACTCTAGATAACGGGAAAATTTTTTTGGTCCTTTCCATTCCATTATAGAGAGAGTTGATTGTTTTCGACTGTAAATATAAATAATATAATAAATAAAATAAATAATAATAAAATAAAAACAATAAATAATATAGTATCATAATATAAAATAACTAAAAATACTAGTTTCAAAAATATTTGAGCAAATAAAAATATTAGTTTCAAATTGTGGGGAATCATTAAGTTAAAGCGAAATCTAATTCGATAAATCTATTTCAGGAATACGATACAGAGATCAAGGAAATGTCAGAAAGCTGTTTCGGTATTCGGGCGCTTTTCTCTCAGGAAAGCCGTCGCAGGAGCAAGATCCCGTTGGCTTCGGTGAGTTTCGAAAAGTAAAGCTCGACCCTTGATTAACTTTAAATGATGCTCTGACTAGTCATAAACATTGAAACATGACAATTTTTCGCTAGTCATCTTCTAGCATTTTTTAGCTTTTAGCTTTCTTTTAACAAAAAACATCTTGAGATCAAAAGCTTGAAACATTTTCATCGAAAATTTTCAGCGTGACGTCGTCGAGGAGAGCAACAGTCGAGGGGAGAACAGTGCCGGAGGATCGCCATCTGGGGATGACGTTGATGAGGTTTGCGGTTAACACAGCTTTGAGCGAGCGTACAGTCGCGTAGTCTTTACTATTTCACGAATAATTTGGTGTGAGTTCATCGAAAAACTAAACTATTATAGTAATTCGATAGCCCTGAATGTGCTTTTGAAAACTAGTATAAAGTTGCGAGGACTTTTTGCCTGACAAAGATAAAAGTCCTTAAAAAGGGCATTAGTACGACTCTATCGTTTGAAAATTTGCTAAATAAGATTCAAATAAGAATAAGATTGCTAAAGAACAACTCAAAATCTAAAGTTTATAAGTTTAGAATTATAGGAATTGAATGGGAGAATGAAAAGGATGATGGGAGTTAGAAATGATAAATTTTTAAAAGTCTAATCGTTAATCTAGTCCACGTTATTCTAGTCTACGTTATTCTAGGCTACGTTAATCTAGTTCACCTTATTCTAGTCTACGTTAATCTAGTTCACCTTATTCTAGTCTACGTTAATCTAGTCCACGTTATTCTAGTCTACGTTATTCTAGTCCACGTTATTCTAGCCTACGTTATTCTAGTCTAGGTTATTCTAATTGAGTTAAACTTGAAACATAAATTTTTTCAACTCTTTCCTTTTCCAGAAATCAATTTTGCGTTTTATCGAGGATTTCAAGGTGAAAGTCGAGAATGAGAATTGAAAAATGTGATCAACTTTTGATTGATTAAGTTGATTAAGTTGATTAATTGACTATTTAACTGACTATTTAACTGACTAAATGACTATTTTATTTGATTCATTAATAGATTTTTATTGGTGATCTCACAGTGATAAGTTTCTCGTGACGAAAATTGGGGTTTTTTTTTCTTTTTTGTAACTTGATTTTGTCTTTTTTAGGCTAATCTTTAAGCTAAAATGCTATTTCGATTTCCTTTTCTAAGCTAAAATTGATTTAATTTGATTTGATAAAGTTTTCATTTCATTTCCTTTCATATTTGCAATTGTTTAATAGAGGTAAAATCAGAGTTCACTTATTGGGTTTGCTCAAAAACACATCCATCCGAAAAAAAAACATCCATACACTATCCAACTAAAGCACACAGCTTTAGACTTGAGCCAATTACTGTAAAAGCTCTAATAGAAACCCCATCCTATAGGAGCGCCGCGTAGTCTAAGTTTAAGCTCAAAGAATGGCTCATATCTCGACACCAGTACGTTTGTTTCTGCGCGCTTTTGTATCAAATTAAAGTAGAAAGATAGGGGGATTTTTTGAGCAATTACATATATTTTTAGCATAAACCAGCGCTTAGAAAAAAATGATTGAAAAGTGGCAAAAAAAGAGCCGATTTTTCATCATTTTTCAATCATTTTTTTCTAAGCGCTGGTTTATGCTAAAAATATATGTAATTGCTCAAAAAATTCCCCTATCTTTCTACTTTAATTTGATATGAAAACGCGTAGAAACAAACGTACTAGTGTCGAGAGCTGAGCCATTCTTTGAGCGTAAACTTAGACTACGCGGCGCTCCTATAGGTGACCGTTCTATTGGAATATTTACGGCAAATGAAACCAATTAAAACCAATTAAAACCAATTAAAACCAATTGAAAGTAATTGAAACCAATTGAAACCAATTAAAATTAATTAAAACCAATTAAAACTAATTGAAACCAATTAAATTCAAAACCTATCAAATAATTTGTTCGTGTCAGCAAAAAATGATCGAAAAAAAAGATTTAGCTTGATTATTCAACTTGTCTATTAAAGTTTTTAGCATATTTTGAAACAAAGACTTTCGAAATTGAGAGAATTAATAGGTTGATGCATAAGTCTTTTCGTTTTTTTCGTACTTCTGTTAAAAAGTAACAAATTCACGAATTAATCTATAGTTTGCTCTATAAAAAAAGTGTTTTTTTGTTCAATTTGCATCTTTTTAAATGAATTTCGGTTCACTTTCAAGCAAATTCGAGAGTGAAAAACGCCTTTTTCGTAAAAATCTATAAAAAACTCTACGGAAAAATTGGCTGAATGAATTTCTCTGAAATTTTGGCGAAATAAACTAACTTTATCAAACATATCAAACGTTTTTTTTCTCTATCTTTTATCTATTGACACGAAGATAGGTTTTCTTTAGCTAAGGTGTCTAAACCGCATCATCGAGTTAGCCCTTTTTGACTACCCGACTTCATACTCTCAAGAAAATCCAGGCATTAAATATTTTTAAACCCGTTTTAATGTTATTTTGCAGAAAAATAATTCGTTTTTCTAATGAAATCAACCGTAGTTTAATTGGTGCATTTGTTGGCTTGAAACGGCAGACGAAAAGGAACAAAAACACTTATGCATCAACCTAATAGTTTAAAAGTCGAAAATTTACTAAAATAAAAGAAATTTTTCTCCACTTTTCTCGTAATTCGATTAAAATTCAAGTTTAAAAGTTAAATAAATCAAAAAATCAATTTTTATTTGAAAATTTCTAGGCTGCAGGTGTCTCGGTGGTGGTTGAAGAAAACGAAAACGAAGAAGAGGTGAAAATTTTGAAACTCAACTTTTTATCCAATAAATTTCAAGAGATCGAAGAATTTTGACGGAAAACGGGTATCATTTGATTTGTTTCTTTGGGAGTGGGACAAATGCGACCTTTTTTTTGCGCACCCGGACATTTGCGCACCTTTTTTTCCGCACCTTGCCCGTTAGCGCACCTTTTTTCGCGTTTTAAGCTCTAAAAGCTCTAAAAAAGCTCTAAAAAGCTAATATTAACCAATTTCTATTCCAATTTCTATTTCTATTGTTTTTCTAGGTAATTTGAGGGCGTAGAATCGAAATTTTGACATATCAGAGCTTGTGGAAACGAACGGACGGAGTTATACAAAGAGAAAAATCGACAATTTTCTGTAATTTGATCTAGCCGTTTTGTCTTCCACAAATTGGTTCCACAAGCTCTGATATGTCAAAATTTCGATTCTACGCCCTAAAATTACCTAGAAAAACAACTTTTGGAATAGAAATTGGTTAATATTAGCTTTTTAGAGCTTTTTTGCTCTAAAAAGACGCGAAAAAAAGGTGCGCAAATGTCCGGGTGCGCAAAAAAAAGGTCGCATTTGTCCCACTCCCGTTTCTTTTGATGTAAAGGCAGAGCTTCTAATTTAGTAGAAATTAGATTAGAATCAGAATTTTGAAAAGTTCAATTTTTGATTTGATTCCTGATTCTTATTTGAATTGTTTTTTGAAATTGAAAAAAATTGAAACATTGATTTTTGAAACAATAAAAAGTAATAAAAAAAGAAAATCTATTTTTAAACTTAATTTAATGATTATATAATGATTATAGAATGATTATAGAATCATTAAAAAACAATTTTTAAGCCAAAATTTTGTTTAGTAGAAGCTGTGTCATTGCAGGGTTTCCTTGGGCCAATCACCATCTCCCTTTTGTTTCTGTAGACCTCTGTAGATCTCTGTAGATCTTTATTTTAGTATTTCGTTTTCTAAAAAGGTTTCTAAAAAGGTTTCTAAAGCTACCGTAATCGGATTGCTTTAAATTAACAAGCAACAAAGCTATGGTAGATTTTTCGAAAACTTTTAGAAAGATTTGATGGCTATTTTAGCTTTCTGTAGTGTTCATTTTACCTAAAGCTTTTCAAATAAATCAAGCAACGAAAAAAAAGCAAATCCAAATCTCACTATATGCAAATATTCTTTTTTTGACATAAACAAGTGATATAACAGCTTTTTTGAAACATAAAATTGTCTAGTTTCAATTTCAATCAGCCTCTTAAGCGATCAGAAATGTTAATGAATGAAATTAACTGAAAAATGTTCCATTGCTTTCTGAAAGTAGGTGATTATATTGGGTTGTCCAGTTTATGAATGCACGTTTGTACTATTTTGTAAATTTCTCATGATATCAAACAGATGTACCGTATTTGTTCGAATAGAAGACCGGGTAAAGAGTATCATCGTGTACTCCTGCGTAGCAGCCCTTTTTAAAATTTCTTTTCTGCATAAAAGCTTTCAATCAAGTGCTATAGAGCTGGAAAATGGCTCAAAAATCTGTTAGCTCATGTGGTATTTTTGAGTCATTTTCCAGCCATATAGCACTTCATTGAAAGCTTTTATGCAGAAAAGAAATTTTAAAAAGGGCTGCTACGCAGGAGTACGCGATGATACTCTTTACCCGGTCTTCTATTCGAAGAAATACGGTACATCTGTTTGATATCATGAGAAATTTACAAAATAGTACAAACGCGCATTCATAAACTGGACAACCCAATAGCTAAATTAAAATTTGTTTTGCTTAATTTCGAATTTAAAGTTTGTTTGAATTGATTAAATGCAAATTTTGTTGAATATTTAAAGGAAAAGTGGTTTAAAAAGCTATCAGAATTATCAGAAAGCTATCAGAATTATCAAAAAGCTATCAGAATTATCAAAAAGCTATCAGAAACTATCAGAAAGCTATCAGAATTCATTTCTCTTTGCATTTAATATTTCAAAAGAGATTGATTTTGCTTTTTTAGTAATTGGATTTGAAATTTTGAAATTTTGAAATTTCTAGTACTTTGTAGTACCTTTGTAGTACGTTTGTAGTAGTTGGATTTGAAAAAAAACTTTAAACAAATCAATTTCCAGCCAGTGAAGACCACATCCTCGCGTTCCGCGCCCCGGCGTCACTTGTCGAATCGCCGCTTTGGAATGCGGAAAGCGATTGGGCAAAAGAAGCGTCAAGAGATGCAAAAATTGAGGGAAATCAGGTAAAAACTTTGATTTATTAGATCAATTTCTTTTACAAGTCATCTTTTTATACTAATGACCAAAAGAATATCCGATTTTATTTAGTCTCCGACTTGGCGGTGCGCAATATTTCAAGAAGAAAGTCAACGAGGCCGCCCATTGTGATGTGAGTGATTATGATGATATTAAGTGCTGTTATTTGTTTACACATTCGCGACAACGGTATTTTGAGTGGACAGTCGCGTAGTCGTTCACTGTTTTGCTCATAATTTGGTATCAATTCATAGAAAAACTCAACTATTATAGTCATTCGATAGCCTTGAATCTCTTCTTGAAAACTAGTACAAAGAATTGAAAAGAATTGAAAAGAATTAAAGAATTAACAGAAAAGAAAGAATAAATTTCAGATTTGCGGAATGTTGCAGCACTCGCGTCTCTCCGAGCACGCCTACAAGCACTTGAATGTGCCACTTTTCGTGTGTCCTCATTGTGACTTGGTGAGGAGATTTTAACAATTAAAAAAGTAACAATTAAAAAAGTCAAGTCTTGAGATAACTAGAAAACACTAGAGATGATTTGTAATTCAAGTTTTAAAGAAAAAATTGGATTATTAATTAGAAACTAATTACAAACTAATGCTGCACAATTACAAACTAATTTACAATTGTCCAGCATGCTTGGCAGTTTTCTTTATGAGTTCTCTTTATGAAGTTAATTAATTTCAAACTTTCTATTCAATCAATCAATGAAACAAATTGAAAACTTGGGAAAAAATTGATTTTTAAGTTGATCAATCATTTCTCTAGGGCAATTACTCCCGTGAAACCGTCGTAAAACACATCAAGGAAATGCATGACGATGGTGGACATCCGGTTGATCAGCGCTTGAAATACGCACAAGAGATCAAGGTGAGTGAAAAGAAAACTGGAGGTAAACAAGGGGAAAACTGGAGGTAACCGAGAGGAAAACAAGGGGAAAACAAGAGGAAAACTGGAGGTAAACAAGGGGAAAACAAGAGGAAAACAAGAGGAAAACAAGAAGAAAACAAGAGGAAAAGTAAAGCTGAAAGTTAGAAATATAAAAGACATGTATCTTTTATGATAGAATTCGATCCGCAATCGAATCCAATCCAATCCAATTCTATCGTTTTGTCGTAAAATTGGGTTGACGAATAAGCCTTTTTCTTTTCCTTTTCGTACTTTCGTTTAAAACAAGGTGAACATGGTGAACATGGTGAACAAAATGAGCAAATGAAATCCCTGTCAAATCCCAGTCAAATCCCAGTCAAATCCCAGTCAAATCCCAGTCGTAAAGCTCATTAAAACTTCAAAACAAATTGCATCATTGAGAGAGAAAAGAAAAAAAGAATTCTTTTCCAGAATATGATCGGCAAGTGCTATCCATCGTTTTTCGTCGATGCGCCCATCCCGACCGTTCACGATATCGAGAAATTGTGCGTTTTGTTTATAACCAAAAAGTGTTTCGTTTTTATGATTTCACTATAAAAATCTAATTTTCTTTCATTCTAATTCTTATTTCATTCTTATTCGTATTTCATTCTTATTTCATTCTTATTCTTCTTCTGCTTCCATTCTTATTCTTATTTCATTCTCATTCTTATTCCTATTCCATTCTTATTCCTATTCCATTCTTATTCCTATTCCATTCTTATTCTTATTTAATTCTTATTCTTATTTCATTCTTCTTCTTATTCCATTCTTCTTCTTATTTCATTCTTATTCCTATTCCATTCTTATTCTTATTTGATTCTTTCTTATTTCATTCTTCTTCTTATTCCATTCTTCTTCTTATTCCATTCTTCTTCTTATTCCATTCTTCTTCTTATTCCATTCTTATTTCATTCTTCAAATTTTAGAAAATCACAACTCGGTGACGAGATGAAAAACGCGATCGCCGCTGATGACACCGATAGTGATGGGGATGAGGGAGTGAGTAAAAGACGAGCAAAGAACGCCATTTCATTTGACAAACTTCATTTAAAACATTTGATAACCAAACTATTCGATAATAAAATCTAAATGGTTGAAAGAAAATGAAAAATTTCAATTTTCAGTCAGTCGATAACGAGGACGAAGCTCAAGAAGATGATCAATAAGAGCTAATTTTCAATAAGAGCAATAAGAGCTAATTTTCTCTCAAAAAACTTCAAATGCTTTATTTGTTTTTGTTTAATTTCAATTTCATTTTCATTTCCAATTTCATTTTTCATTTTTCTAAGCTCTGAGATCATTTTGTGGCCTTTTTTTTTGAAAAAATCTCACGGAAATTTTGATTTTTTTCTTTTTTTTCTTTGTCTCAATGTCTCAATCCTTTTTCCTCAATCAAGTGCCCATTTTTGAGCCCAACTCTTTCTCCGACTAGTCTGTGCGGAAGAAATCTTATTTAGAATATCATTTTTTTAAATAACAACTAGTTTATATCTTGAATTACCCAGATTTTCATGTAATTTTTTGACTTTTTTGTTATTTTTCTCATTTTTTCTTGCCTTAATACGTTTTTTTAATATCTTTTTCGTTATTTGCCCAATTTCTCTCATTAAATATTTTTGATAATCGTTTTTCATTGTTTTCTAAAGATTTTGATTTTTAAAATATGGCAATAAAGTCTTTTTTCGATAATTTAATATATATGCTTTATTCGGTCGAATAGCGACAAAAAAAGATCACAATAATCACCCGGGACACCACTAAAAACACACCCGAAAGATAAATAGATACCTCAAGAAAGAATCACAGAGCAGTTAAATCAATTGCCGAAATTAGGCAATCGGCAAGGTGGGAATATCACGAATATAAGGGGATAAAAGGTTTCACAATTTAATAATTCAATTAAAAAAGAAACTGTGGGAGCTTTTAGAGGAAACGGAAGGTTGGGGTATGAGAAAAGGCCGCTTGGAAGCCCACTTCTGGAAGCCCACTTCTGGAAGCCCACTTCTGGAAGCCCACTTCTGGAAGCCCACTTCTGGAAGCCCACTTCTGGAAGCCCACTTCTGGAAGCCCACTTCTGGAAGCCCACTTCTGGAAGCCCACTTCTGGAAGCCCACTTCTGGAAGCCCACTTCTGGAAGCCCACTTCTGGAAGCCCACTTCTGGAAGCCCACTTCTGGAAGCCCACTTCTGGAAGCCCACTTCTGGAAGCCCACTTCTGGAAGCCCACTTCTGGAAGCCCACTTCTGGAAGCCCACTTCTGGAAGCCCACTTCTGGAAGCCCACTTCTGGAAGCCCACTTCTGGAAGCCCACTTCTGGAAGCCCACTTCTGGAAGCCCACTTATCTTCCCCCTTTAAACCCCCCCTTCTCAAAACCCTTTTTTAACCCCTTTATTCCAAATAAACTTTTTAATTTATAAAATTTTTTAAAAAATTTTTTAAATTTTTATTTAATTAAATATAAAAATAATTTTTATAAAAATTTAAAAATTTTTTAAAATTTTATTTTAAAAATTTATTTAAAATTTAATTTTTAAATTTTAAATAAAAAAAAATAAAAAAAAAAAAAAAAAAAAAAAATAATTAAAAAAATTTTTTTTTTTTTTTATATTTTATAAAAAAAATTAAAAAAAATTTTTTTTTTTTTTTTTTTTAAAAAAAAAAATTTTAAAAATTTTAAAAAAAAAAAAAAAAAAAAAATTTTTTTTTTTATTTATTTTTTTAAAAAATTTTTTTTTTTTTAAATAAAATTTTTTTTTTTTTTTTTTTTTTTTTTTTTCTAAAGATTTTGATATTTTAAATATGGCAAGTTTTGGATAATTCAAAAAAACATTGAATTTTTCATTGAAATCTTGCATTGTAAACAGAGCTCTTTTTTGGTTGAATTTTTCAAATTTAACCCGAGCTCAGAGTCCAGAAGTGATTCATTCCTTTTGCACATTCCCTTTGCGTTTAGCGCTTCTTTATCAAACTCATTTCCCTTTAGAGCCGCTAGGTTATCGAACTTGCTCCCAAATTACATACGAGAAATTCAATCAATTTCCATTTTCACGAAAAAAATAGAGGCTCTAGATCTAACGGCTCTCTCTTGTAGGTAATCTGATTATTTGCATTTTCACTCTATCTTGTATCTTCGTACCTTTCTTTTGTCTCTACCTTTATGACTCGCTGTGCATTTCTCTATGATTTATTGGGTTTCACTTTATCACCTGAATAAAGTATCATCAAATTCGAAAGGATAAAGGTCTACAGCTAACATAGATAGTCCGAAACGGCAGCCAAGCCAAAAATGACTTTGTCGTCAATGTGTTCGTTCGAGTCGATTACCGTATTCTCTCTCATAATAGTGCACCGTGAGCGTCGCCTAAATTGCTCGAAATCTCGAGAGCCGCTTATCAGAACCTATCGATGTGGGGTCGGAAAATGTAGCTGACGATGAGATCTTGTGGGGGATTAGAGTGTTGAGCTTCTGCAAAAGCTTGGAAACCGTAAAATAGTCACCAACTCGGCTCACCGGGGTGCACTACTATTAGAGAAAATACGGTAGAATGGACGACGAAATTTGGCGCGGTTTTGACTCGTAGTGTGCCGGTTTATCAAAACTATTGTGTTACCGTATTCTCTCTAATAGTAGTGCGCACTACTATTTTTTGAACCCCCTCCTGGACCGCAATACTATTAGAGAGTGCACTACTATCAGAGAGAATATGGTATCCAAAAATGTGGCAAATTTTCTGTAGTTTCTGAAAGTTATAACTATTTTACAAAAGGTCTCCTAGTTTTTGAGTGATGCTCTTTCTCGTGTCCTCCAAAAAGGCCTAAAATTTTGCGTCGAATGGTCTATATGTTACTTTCATTTCGAACTAACGTTCAGCTCGGAACGTCCGTTTACGAACAAGAACTGATCAGAACCTATCGATGTGGGGCCGGAAAATGTAGCTGACGATGAGATCTAGTGGGGGATTCTGCAAAAGCTTGGAAACCGTGAAATCGAACTCATCAACTCGGCTCACCGGGGTGCACTACTATTAGAGAAAATACGGTATTGGGTTTCACTTTATCCTCTGAATCAAGTATCATCATTCAAATTCGAAAGGGTGAATTTCAAAAGAGTTAAGTTTCATAGTTAAGTTTCATAAAGGAATGATAGGTAAGATTAATGATATTGAAGAGAGGCTTGCACTTTTATAAATTACAGATTTTAGTTGTAAAATCCCTTTTTTTTCTTTTTTCAGCATTCATTTTTACATCAGCTGTCACAAAAGTGACTCATTTTTTCCCGTTTCTTTTGTGTTTCAACATTTACTGGAATAAGAAGGAAAACATTGCTCAAAAAGCAAAAAAAAAACAGCAAAAAAAAGACATGTCAACTGTTGAATGAGTCGGGAGCTATTGAACTATTGAATTTTGCAAAAAAAATCAGCTATCAGGTACAGATTTTTTAGCAGATAACACAGGCAGACCTAGTTTTTGAGGCTTTTCAATGCCTGAGAACATTAAAAGCTTTATCAACAGCTTTATAAAGCTTTATCAAGCTTTATTAACATTTTTTATTTATCGTTTAAAGATTTTAGAAGCTCAATTCTATCTTTTATTGATAAATTAGTTTTATTAAATTTGAACCCATCAAACTTGAAACATGAAAAATTTTGAACTGTAAAAATGTTCAAAATCTATTATTTAGTCGTTTATTAGCAAGATTTGATAATTTAAAGCTTTATTTATTAAAAAAATCGTCTCTTTTTTGGAAGGTAATTGTTTGAGAATAACAGGTAAGAGTGAGAAGGATGGAAAACGAAAAAACGAAAAAAAAAAGTGGTAAAAGAGATCGACTCAAATCCAGGAGTTTCAAAAGATGGGAAAGGAAGTTAAAAAGGGAAGAAAGGTGAATGGTTCAGTTGGGGGAAAAAGTTAGGAAAGAAAACAAGAGTGCGAAGAGAAAAAGGGGGAAAATGGGGAAAGCGATGAGTCGACCGGGTCAGCTATCCCCTTTTTCTTTCGCCCGTTCGATTTCACCGGGGTATTTGTCACCGCAACACACGGCTAATTGATAGAATTTATCTATCAGCCATTTTCTAGATTATTTTCTTGGTTATTAACTTTGTTGCTGCCTTAGAATTGAAATTGAGCACGGCATTAATTTCAAAACCTTATCATTGTTTGGCTAAACTTTGAAACCGACTTTTTAAAATGTTAAATAACTTTTGAATGACCGTTAAATGACTTTTGACTTTTGTTAAATGACTTTTGAATTTTGTTAAATGACTCATTGTGCGTTTAAAACTTATTGTTAATTAGCTATCTTCTGTAGATCTTGTTTTCTATGCAAATTCTATGCAAATTCTTTATTATCTTACTTTAATTAACTTTAAAAAGCCTACATTGTGATGTTAAAGTCGAGTAATTGGAGTAAAGATTGGAGTGCATTTCTTTCGAAGACATTCAATCATTTTCTTGGGTATTTTTGATTTGTAATTTTGTTTCTGTTGCTGTCTTAGCATTAAAATCTTTAAAAGAAGTTGCTTGCTTTACAAGTGTGCCGTACTATAGTAGGTGGTGCAAAAGAAACTGCCGATTTGACGATAAATTTTTAAAAAAGATGGCGTTCGATGGTGACATGATCACAATGGAATATTTTCGCAAGATCTCGAGCAGATTGGCATGGATCGGCCTGAATAACGTCCCTCAGCTTGGCTTCGTTCACGACTTCTGGCCTCGAACCGTGCTCGTAATCTTCCAAAGTCTCGTCTCCCTCTCGCAATCGTTGAAACCAAGTCTGACACTGCCTGAGAAACAAACTGCCATCTCCGAAAGCAGCACACGAGAGAACGATGCGATTCGGCAGCAGACTTGGTTCCTTTTTCTACAAATTTGGTTCCTTTTCTCTACAAATTTGGTTCCTTTTCTCTACAAATTTGGTCCTCTTTTCTCTTTTGGTTCCTTGCGAGACAACGATGCGATTCGGCAGCAGACTTTCCAATGTTGAAGTTAAACAGTAATGCTGCTCTTAGCACAAACTTTTGCTCGACCATGATCTAAATAAAAAATATAAGCATTTTTAAATAAAATAAACAACAACCAAAAAATTGAAATGTCGAAATAAATAGCAAACAAATATGCGAACAAAACATAAAAAAAATAATTCCATTAGCATCGCTCATTTCTGATAAATGAGAGCTGATACCCATCGGCATTTTCTTTTGCACCACCCTAATAATTTCAAAAGCTTATCATTGATTGTGTAAACTTTGAAACCGACTTTGAAACCGACTTTTAAACGTTGCTCTCGACTTTTTTTAAACGTTGCTCTCGTTTAAACGTTGCTCTCGTTTAAACGTTGCTCTCGTTTAAACGTTGCTCTCGTTTAAACGTTGCTCTCGTCTCTTTTAAACGTTGCTCTCGTTTAAACGTTGCTCTCGTTTAAACGTTGCTCTCGACTCTTTTAAACGTTGCTCTCGTTAAATGACTTTTAAGATTTCATTGTTAGCTTAAAACTTATTTTTAATTAGCTATCTTCTGTAGATCTTGTTTTCTATGCAAATTCTTGATTATCTTACTTTAATTAACTTTAAAAAGCCTAAATTGTGATGTTAAAGTCGAGTGATTGGAGTGCGTTACCTTCGAGGACTTATCACTGATGACCCAAACTTTGAAACCATGTTTTTTTGACTTTGATTTTCACATTTCTATATTAGGATTATTACTCAATGTTTTACAAAAAGCTTTCGCTTAAACCAATTTTTCATTGTTTAGCATTTCTTTCCATGACTACCCCTCATCCGCCCATCCCGAAGCCGAGGATTTTCAAACCGAAACCGACCGTATTGCCGAGAAAACAACTACCACTAGCCGATCAAGTGAGTTATAGCCAAAATGTAAATGAAAATCAAAAGGAAAACATTCAAAATCAGAAAACAATTTTATAGTCCAGTCAAGGTAAGTGATTTGAGTTAGAGTTTACAAATTGGCTGATGAGTTTTGAAATGATTCAAATGGGCTCACAGGATCCCTATTTTTTGTTTTCATTCCTACTCACAGGATCGTTTCAAAAGCCTTTAACTAGCATCGTAGGGTAAACAGGGGATCATTCTTCATATCATTCAACAAGAAAACAAGATCTCAAGACAGAAAAATCCATCAGATTGAGATCTGGTGAGCTGGGTTCAGATTCAGAAAAATCATATCATTTATATTACCAAGAACATTCGAATTTTGGGTAAACTTTACAGAAATTTCTCGATAAATACCTAAAATTGATTGAAAATCGAATTCTAATTTCAAAATCTATCATTTCTTTTCTTTTTATCTTTATAAATTTTTGATTCAACTTAATATAACCAATTGATTCTCTGTGAAAAAGGAAAAGTTTCAATTTAGTTGAGGAATTAGTAGTAGTAGCAGTTAGTAGTAGTAGCAGTTAGTAGTAGTAGCAGTTAGTAGTAGTAGCAGTTAGTAGTAGTAGCAGTTAGTAGTAGTAGCAGTTAGTAGTAGCAGTTAGTAGTAGTAGCAGTTAGTAGTAGTAGCAGTTAGTAGTAGCAGTTAGTAGTAGTAGCAGTTAGTAGTAGTAGCAGTTAGTAGTATAGCAGTTAGTATAGTAGCAGTTAGTAGTAGTAGCAGTTAGTAGTAGTGCAGTTAGTAGTAGTAGCATTAGTAGTAGTAGCAGTTAGTATAGTGCAGTTAGTAGTAGTAGCAGTTAGTAGTAGTAGCAGTTAGTAGTAGTAGCAGTTAGTAGTAGTAGCAATAGTTTAAGCTCTAGTTTAAACACGATTTGTAGCGGTTGAATACTTTTAAATTGATTCTAATAAGGTGAAACTTAAATCAAATCGAGTACAAAGAATCTTTTCTTTTTAATTACACTTTCTAATTGTTCTAATTGTTCTAATTTTTCTAATTTCAAACGAGAAGTTTCAATTCACTCAGGTTTAAATCAGTAATTTGGGTTATAATTCCAAAGCAATTTAAAAGCGTTAGAATTTCATTCTACATTGTTTTCTGTTCTCTCTCTCTCTCTTTCATTGTTCATTAGCTTCTATTAGTTTAATTACTCAAGTTTTAGAGAGTTTTGTTCATATTAACCGTAATTTGAATCAAGCTGGGGACAGCAATCGAATTGAAAATCGAACGTTTACACCAATTGATCAATACCTATCTCAACGATTCAACTGGTTATGGCAGAATGAAACGTACGGGACTAAAGCCGAGTAATTATAAGTTCAAATCAGTAAGCAGTAAGCCGAGTAATTATAATTACGTTCACGACAAAGCAACATTCACGACAAAGTCATTTTTAGCTTAGCTACCAGTTTAGCTAGCTTTGAACAACTAATTGTTAGCTGTAGACTAAAAAATTTGTAACCATTCTACGAAGACATTCTACAAAGACATTCTACGATGGAGAATCTGAATCCGTTATTAGTTTTTGAGTAGCTTTAATTTCGAAGCCAATGCTCGGCTTTGGTCCCATATGTTTCATTCTGCCATAACCAGTTGAATCGTTGAGATAGGTATTGATCAATTGGTGTGAGCGTCCAATTTTCAATTCGATAGCTGTCCCCAGCTTGATTCGAATTACGGTTAATCTGGTCAAAACTCTCTAAAACTTCGGTAATAGATGAACAATGAAAGAGAGAGAACAGAAAACAATGTAGAATGATTTTACAGTTTTCACAGATTACTTTACAGATGACCAATTGGGACACCGGGTTAGCAAATGAGAAAATGAATTGCTTTACGATTTACGACAGCATTTATACCACGCATAACTGAATAAATTTTGCTTAGTGAAATGTTTGTCTGTTTGTCTACGGTTTGAGCTTTGTTTAGGATTGAGGCTATATACAGGGTGCGCCAAAAGTTCCCGTACTTGTATTTTCTGCATTTTTGGTAATTTTAGATAAAAGATTCGATTTTAAAAGTAAGAAATTCGATTTCCTCGGGAAAAACTGATTTAGAAAACGTTTCTGGTTAATTTATAAGTGCAACACTATTTAAGACAAGTGATTGAGAAGAGGGTCCGCTCAGGGGCACAGTTACAGCTTTGGTCGCACAGTTACAGGGCACAGTTACAGGGCACAGTTACAGTTATTTCCTTTGGTGGAAATTTGTATGGGAAAACCAAGTTGACTTCCGACTCGGTCGTTGACCAAAACATCTTGGCTCTTGAAAATCTTTTGATCCATAAAAGTTACAGGCCTGAAGCCCCAAAAAAATGTGCGACCAAAGCGTAACTGTGCCCTGTAACTGTGCCCTGTAACTGTGCCCTGTAACTGTGCCCTGTAACTGTGCCCTGTAACTGTGCCCTGTAACTGTGCCCTGTAACTGTGCCCTGTAACTGTGCCCTGTAACTGTGCCCTGTAACTGTGCCCTGTAACTGTGCCCTGTAACTGTGCCCCTGTAACTGTACCCTGTAACTGTGCGACCAAAGCTGTAACTGTGCCCCTGAGCGGACCCTCTTCTCAATCACTTGTCTTAAATAGTGTTGCACTTATAAATTAATCAGAAACGTTTTCTAAATGAGTTTTTCGCGAGGAAATTGAATTTCTTACTTTTAAAAGCGTATCTTTTATCTAAAATTACCAAAAATGCAGAAAATACAAGTACGAGAACTTTTGGCGCGCCCTGTATTTGCATTGACTTGGTGACATTTGTCACATGAATTGCTTTAACTAGGACCCCATTCAAAACTTCAACCATTCCCAGGGTTCAAAAAAACGTCCAATTCACACAAAAAGGGTACCAAGGTAGGGTAGGCTCAGGCTCTTTTTGTCTTCCATTGTGCGAAAACTTTTTGCATTGATTTCAGGCGAGGACGGTTGATGGAGAAGAAGAAGAAGAAGAAGAAGAAGAAGAAAGAATGGCCATATGTTGGCGAGGAAAGGAAAAAGTTGGAAAAAGAAGGGAGAAAGGGGGAAATGAAGATTTGAACCACAAGGAGGATTGGAATGGCCACAAAAAGCCAGAAAACAGTGGGCAAGAGAGCGGCAATCGATTTGACATTCGGCAAGTTATTCATAGCTGTGATTCAACTGGGAAACCAGTGACGAAACGGTTGGAGAATGCTTTAGAAGCCGAGGATTCTACTGATCAGTCTACTAATCTTGATCCACTATCTAGCAGAGATTTCTGCTCATTCCAAGATCACCTTGTTATTCCATTTCCTGTAGCAGAGTCAAGTACAATTCTGGGAAAGATTTGTTCATTGCAAGATCAACCGAATATTCTTGATCCACCCAATACAGCTGCTTCTACCCTATTCCAAGACCAAGATCACTTTGTTATTCGAAATTCTGAATCCGTGCCCGTGTCAAGTAAAAGTAATCGCTTGAAACAAATTGATTCTACTCCATTTCGAGATCAAGATCCAACTACTATTAAAGATCTTTTACCTGTATCAAATCCAGTACTCAAATCTAGCCCCAAGCCTTTAACTCCAGCTGTTTCAAAGATTCACAATCGTTTACAAGACTCAAACTTGTCAATTGAATCAAAATCTAATACAGATTCGAAAGCTATCTTTCCCAAATCATTTCCCATTCAAAAACAACCATTTCTAGTTGATAATCAGTATTCCGAGCCACGTACGGATCGTGGGAATACTCTTGAAAAATTAGAAAGACAAAGAACTTGCTTAAACTTGAAACAAAAAGATTTTAGATCTAATTCAGAAGCTTTTCTGGATTCTGAATTGTTTACTTTGGAAGATTTGAATTCAAAAAGCTCTGATTGTGAAGAATTTCCAAGCTGGGCTGTTGAAAGCTGTCCACGATTGTCGAAAGCAATCGAAGAAACTTTCGACAAAGAAAAGAGGGATTTCGGTCAAGAATTTGGCTTTGATTTTGATTTAAATCAAGCACATTTGTACGTGAATCTTCAATCTAAAGCTGAAGCTGAAGAATTTGAAAAGAAATCGGATCAAACTTTTGATTTACAATTGGATTCAAAAAATTTTAATTTAAAGGAGAAAGCAGACGTCCAAAAAGACCTAAAAAAGGAAAAATTGAAATCAAAAACGCCAGAAACGTCAGAAACATCAGAAACGCCAAAAACAAAAGAATTTTAAGCTAAAAGCTTTGAAAAGAACTCAAATCAAAATCCTGGCTTAAAATTGGATTCGAAAATCAATATTTCGAAAGATTCAAATACCCAAATTTTGGCTCATTCATACGTGAACATTCAAAAGAAAGCGGAAAAAATTGAAACTGAACAAAACGACGATTACATGATTCCCCAGCGAAAGAACAGTCGAAATCGACAACTCGAGAAATCTCCATTTATCCCAAAACGCATCGCTCCACCGCCACCACCGAGCAATTCCCCAGTTCATCGAAATATTGATTCGAATCCAATCAATGTACCAAATGTACTAAATGTACCAAATAGACCAAATGGACCAAATGCACTAAATGTACTAAATGTACCAAATGGACCAAATGGACCAAATGTACTAAATGGACTAAATGGACCAAATGGACCAAATGGACCAAATAGACCAAATGGACTAAATGGACCAAATGAACCAAATAGACCAAATAGACCAAATGGACCAAATGGACCAAATAGACCAAATAGACCAAATGTACCAAATAGACTAAATGGACTAAATGGACCAAATGAACCAAATAGACCAAATAGACCAAATGTACCAAATGTACTAAATGTACCAAATGTACCAAATAATTCACCGATTAAAGAAACGATAAAAGAGGAAACGAATCTCGACGATCAACCGGTTCGTTTCCGAAAATTGGCAAATCAAGAGCAAAATCAAAATCAAAATCAAGATTTTGAAAGAAAAACGTTTCTCATCGACGAGCGTAAGACTTTCGTTGTGGACAATGAGAGGAATTTGAGAGGTTTGTGTTTTCAAACTTTTATTCAAATCAAAATTCAATCAAATCTAAGCTTAAGAACATAGCTTAAGCTAAAATTATGTTCGTTAGAGAAAAAAAGAACTAAGATTAGAACGACTCATAGCAATTGAAAAAGCCAAAACTTGAAACTTGACATTTAATTTTGTTCGGCACTGTATGTCCGAAACAAAACCAAAATTCTTGTTCACTTTCAGCTTTCGATTTTGGTATGCTGTAATAATTTTTTTTGTTCAAAAATACATCCAAATGTAGGCAAAAGATTGAGCTTCTTGTTTTAAAAGTAAAAGTTTTAAGTTAAACACAATGCAACTGATATACTCAAACTTTCGTTTCTTCAGTACAGATCTTTTGGTTTAATTTCGAACTCCAAAAACAAACAATACTATAATGAAATCTATAAACTAAAATCTATTCTTTTTTTTCAGAGCCAACTCCTCGATTGAGCCAAATAGCCGTTGTTGTTAATGATCGGTGTTTATCAGCAGAGAGTACAGAAACCCTTTTGCCGGCTCGTTTCTCTCACGATCAGACATTCACTACGAGGTGGGTCTCGCTTGATTTCGAAAGATTTATTGCCCTGTTCAATCTGGACTCATTTTCTTTCAACATTTTGTAGCAAATCGGTAGCTCTTTGGTTTTGGTTAACGGATTTTGGTTAAATTCAAAATTTTGGGGAATTGACCATTAGGGGCCAAGGTAGATTTTAGAAAACTTGAAACTTAAAATCTTTGATTCTTGATTTTAAAGATTTCTTTCTTTTCTCTTTCTCCTTTCTTTCTTCTTTCTTCTTTCTTCTTTCTTTCTCCTTCTTTCTTTTGATGATTGGCCGTATTTCTTTTAATAGAATTTGAATTTCTTCTAATTTCTTCTTCTTCTTCTTCCCCTTCTTCTTCTTCCCCTTCTTCTTCTTCTTTCTCTTCTTCTTCTTCTTCCCCTTCTTCTTCTTCCCCTTCTTCTTCCCCTTCTTCTTCTTCTTTCTCTTCTTCTTCTTCTTCCCCTTCTTCTTCTTCTTCCTCTTCTTCTTCCTCTTCTTCTTCCTCTTCTTCTTCCTCTTCTTCTTCTTCTTTCTCCCTTCTTTCTCCCTTCTTTCTCCCTTCTTTCTTTAGAAATTATCTATTAATTACAAGTAATTTTAGAGATTTCTAAGCATAGTAGCAACAATTTAACATCTAGGAAATCGTTTTCTTTTAACCTAGCTAAAGCGTACTGTTGGGTAGCACTGTAAATTTTTATAGACACCAAAAGTACAAGAGTTTCTCTTCAACTTTTCCTTACCTCATATTCCTCGTTCCCACCAGTCCATGCATTCCCATTTCCCCGCTCTTTTTCCCATTTTTCCACTTTTTCCACTCAATCGCCCTTTTGTCTCTTTTGACAAAAAAAAGCGCGCCACCTATTGGAAGCCAGAATCTCCGAAGCGCCAATAAAAACTCGAAAATACGGACATTGAAACCCAGCTGACCGTAAACTAATGCTCAAATAGTATTTCTGAAAATAAGTTTTAAGCTTTTAGACTACAGAATTCTTTATTTTTAAAGATTTTCTTGATTAAAAAGTGTTTGTTTCAATTTAATGCATTTAAAGACATTGGTTTTTCGCATGAATGCAATTCAGTTTCAAAATTTGTAAATAAATAAAAGCTTAGATCATCATCAACCTCTCTCGGCAGCTCGTTCGACTCGATTTTGGCTTGTTGCAGTGAAGAGGACTTTGAGTCAAGAAAACGGGGTGAGTCTTGAGAAAAAGAGCGTTTCAAAATTGGTTTATAATTAAAATGGATTCTTTTTTTGATCTTTACACAACACGATACGGCCAACCGGTAAGGCAACATGAATTTGGCGCTTTTTTGTAGCTGATTGGACTGATTAGATTGAAAATTTGCACCAGGGGTTTTCAGGTATAGCTGTAGATGATACTTGATTGACAATTGGCTTGTCACTGACAATTGGCTTGTCACTACAATTGGCTTGTCCCTGACAATTGGCTTGTCACTGACAATTGGCTTGTGACTGACAATTGGCTTGTCACTTCAATACACTTAAACATGAAACTTTACTTTGATTTTATGCAAAGATGTTGAAACTTCTTCATGTTTGGTTTCAAAAAAATAGCCCTGAATTTCAGCTTTTATTTGATACTTAAGCGCACACTGTAGCATAAACGGGTGGCGAGAAAATGTGCGTTTAAAGTTAGGCTACGCGATGCTCCGACCTCCGACGTCATTATAGGGGGCGCTACTAGAGGTATGACAAGATGTACATGGCACTTGATTGACAATTGGCTTGTCACTTCAATACACTTAAACTTGAAACTTTACTTTGATTTTATGCGAAGATATCTGTGATTAATGTTCATTTTATTCTTACACACCATTAGCTTTGAAACATTCTTTTTTTTATTGTTTGATATGTCCAACCGGTGAGCCGTACTTAAATTTAGTACTTTTTTGTAGCCAATTGGGTTGAAAATTTGTATCAGGGGGTTTTCGGGCTCAAGGAATTCGAATCTGTTATTGGTTTTTAAAGAAAAATGCTCTATTTTTGAATATATGTTCGTGAATTAATGTTAATTTTATTCTTAGACATCAAAAACTTTGAAACACTGGTTTTTTTATTTTTTCACACATTCGATATGTCCAACCAGTAAGCCGCACATGAATTTAGCACTTTTTTTTGTAGCTGATTGGACTGAAAATTTACACCAGGGGTTTTCAGAGGCAAAGAATTCAAATCCGTTATTAGTTTTGAAAGAAAACGGCTCTATTTTTAAAACTCAAAACACAAACTTTGTAACAATTGATCTTGCTAAAAGCAATCATCGATTCAATCACTTCTCTATCAAAAAAAGATCTTTTCAATAGCAAAAACCCCATTGTAATACCATTTTCTGTCATTCGAACATTCAAAAAGGCTAGGTGGATGACTCAAATCGGGATCTTTCCCCATGTCAATTCAACAATTCAATATGATCGTATCGCCCGTTTTTCTTTCCTTATTTAATTCGAGATTCGAAAGATCATTGAATTCAATTTCTCGCATTAAAGCAATTTTTAAAAAGCTTGTTTCACTTTTTACCTAGTCGAATAGGCCGCTCGGCTCGGTAGTCCGGGCTCGATTTTTAACGTTTTACTTGAATATCCTATTTTCTACTTGAATATTCTATACTAAATCTCTTATATATGTCGCAGCCGATTAAGGATTTCAGCCGAAGAAGTCTCAGACTCCTTCGGCTAGCCGATTAAGTCTCAATTTTTTTCGCTAGCGAAACCTTCTTCGGCTAGCCGATGAAGTCTCAAAAATGAAATCTATGACTCAAGTCAATACCACAAACTCAAGCTCTCAAAAAGGCGCTTAAAAGCTAAAAACGCTCTCTAAAAGGCGCTAAAAACTAAAAACTTGTAGTGCTATTCTCTCTTGAATTGAATCAAGAGGTGCTTTACAATCATGGGATCAAAGGCAATTTGGACAAACCTAAGAAAGTCGTCAAGAACGAGGAGCTCTTTGGCCGGTTAACGATCAACAGAAATTAGTGTAGCTTAAACAAAAATGCACAGTAACAAAAAGAAAAAATAGGATTGAAATAAGGGGTTATGTTCGATTATAAACAGATTAGTGGTAAATAAGTTTTATCGATGATCCAAAAAAGGGGCAAATTGACTTACAAAAACAAACAATTCTATTTCAAATAAATGACGAATCAGATAGAAAATGGCGAAAAGGGCCCTTTCATAGCCTTTGGTTACAGTATGATAAAATGCGCACTCTTTAGAATGCGTTTTTAGCTTTGAAGCGCCTTTTAGAGAGCTTGAGTTTGTGGTATTGACTTGAGTCAATAGATTTCATGTTTGAGACTTAATCGGCTGGCCGAAGAAGTTTGAGACTTAATCGGCTAGCCGAAGAAGTCTGAGACTTATTCGGCTGAAATCCTTAATCGGCTACGACATATATAAAAGAACAGTGTATGTCTGTCCGTCTGTAAGAGCTTTTTTTCAGCTGTCTTTGGGTCAAAAAAAATGAATTCTTTTAAAAAGTCTTAAAATACAATATAATATACATATATTGGGTTATCCAGTTATGAATGCGCGCTTTTACTATTTTGTAAATTTCTCATGATATCGAACAGATGTATATAAGTGTTATATATCATTCGAAAGTTGAAGATCTCCTCTACATTTTGATATAAAAAGCTTTGAAATTTGTTCAGCTTTTGGGCAAATTGATTGCACAAAGGGAGAGGTCGTTTTCGAAAAAACCCATTCCAGCTTAGCTATTCCTCAAGTTTTATGGTGTAAAATAACCGCCCAGAAAAGAAAAGAAAAGTAAAGATACTCTGAAATTGTTATATTTAAAAAAAGTTGTATTGATATATCTATTGGCCAAACACCAAACGGTTAACTCAATTTGAGCGGAGCCAAAACTTGATCCAAAGGCACCCTTTTTCCATTTTTTGGCCACCTCTTCTTCTATGCAGTCAATTTCCCCAAAAGCTGAACAAATTCAAAAACGTTTTTATATCAAAATGTAGAGGAGATCTTCAGCTTTCGAATAATACTCATATATATCTTTTTCTTGATTTCGGTATCTTGAGAAATTTACAAAATAGTAAAAAACGCGCATTCATAACTGGACAACTCAATAAATTCCAAATCAAAAAACTCATCAATCGTGATAAAGAAAAACTTCATATTGTGATAGGTTCGGAACATGGAACCAAACCGTGGATTGAAGATCGCTTTCACGTTTTCTCTAGAATGAAAACGTCAAAGAAAAACTTTGACTCCAACTTTGACTTGTGGGGTTGAACGGGGGGCCACTATATTTCCCTCAAAATCACTTTTCTGGGATACTTTTTTTGCGTAGATCACGAATTTCATAGTGAGAGCTTGGGAAAATGCGTTTTAGACCGACTTTCCGTGGCCTTTGCTAGAGTTTCTTTTTCAACAAACAAACAAACAAGCAAACAAACAAACAAAATTTGTGTGTTTAAAAACATTGTGTAAAACCGAAATCTCCCTCTTTTTCGCGAATTTTGAAACATCAATTTAAACAAACAAACAAACAAATAAACAAGCAAATCCGTATGCCCTTTTTCAGCTAAAGTTTATGGTTAAAAGTAGTCAAATAATGTCAAAAATAGATTCCCATTTGGAAAGAGAAAAAATAACAAAAAAAAAAGTGACCGAAACACCGATCCATTTCCCCTTTCTCCATTTCTGTTTTCCCAAAATTCGAAGCGATGAATCCGAGGGGAAAATTATCGGTCATCAAAATGCGGGAAAAGAGATGAAAAGAGAAAAAAGGGGAAAATTGTGGTGACCTCGAATCTCACACCAACACAACTTTTCCTCTAACACAAATCTATTCTATTTTTTGAAAGCCCAGATTTTACAGGACCCAGCTTAACCGCAAAAATGACGAGCCCCACATTATATACGACACTTTTTAAAGATACTCAGCCGTTTAAATGATTTGGTGGGAAATTCCCGTCCAATGTAAAAAATTATTTTCTTTGAAAAACCTGGGGGGTGGGACAAATGCGACCTTTTTTTTGCGCACCTGGACATTTGTGCACCTTTTCTGCTGGAAAAGGCCTTAGGAAAGGCCGTAGAGCATCAAAAATGTGTCCATGTCAGGGAATCGTGTGCGTAGATTCCGAATTTCGACAAATCAAACCTCGCTGACACGTCAAATTTGGGCTAAAAGGCAAAAACTACGCAACTTAACGCTTTTCCGCAGTTTTTGCCTTTTAGCCCAAATTTGACGTGTCAACGAGGTGTGATTTGTCGAAATTCGGAATCTACGCATACGATTCCCTGACCTGAGAGATTTTTGAAGCTCTACGCCCTTTCCTAAGGCCTTTTTCAGCGAAAAAAAGATGCGCAAAAAAAGGGCGCATTTGTCCCACCCCCATTTTTTTACATTGGACGGGAATTTCCCACCAAATCATTTAAACAGCTGAGTATCTTTAAAAAGTAACGTATATAAGGTGGGGCTCGTCATTTTTGCTTCATTTTTTTGCAATAATTTTTGCTAAAAGTACTTTTGTACTTAGGTAATTTTTTCCCAAGTGTGCTTTTTAAAAAACGCATTACCCGCCAGGAACACACTCTATTCATAATCGGCTACGACATATGGGCTGTATACAGTACAGTAAAGTACAGTAAAGTACAGTAATAGGTGGATACGGTAGACCTACAGTAGTACGTTATGTGTGTAGAGTGTGTTCCTTTTTCCCAAGTGTGCTTTTTAAAAAGCGCTTCTTGAGGACCCAGAAATCGGAAAACGCTCGTGGAATACATTACCCGCCAGCTTTCAATATCTCTATCTACAGTACACTTTATAGCATACTGTAGATAGAGTTATTTAAAGCTATAATATTCGTTTCTATATTTCTAATCATTTTATTCATTCAGGTTTTTTTAAAAATTCGTGATCAGTGTATTTTTCTGGACAGAAGAGTGGAGAAAAAAAACGAGGAAGAGATGGGGGTAAAAAAGAAGGCATTTGTTTGTATAAATATGCCCAGCCTGAGGCCTTCTCTCTTTCTTTTTTGCCTTTTCCTCAAAAAAGCAAATCCCCTCTCGACCAGTCATTCCACTCAGGGCATCACTACGATCCATTTGCTCTTTTTCTGCTCTTTTTTCGTGTCCAAATTTTGCTAATTTCAATTTCTATGTTTCAATTTAAACCATTTTATTGAGCTTTTGAGATTTTAATACCGATTTTTTTTCAAAAAT